CATCCTCTGGACCATGTTTCGTACTTCTCCGTTTTGGAGCGTTTCAGGAGAGATTTGGACGCAGGTCCACTTACGTCAGCGAAGGAGAAACAGAAATATGTCATCAAGCTAAAGGAAGGTGTTTTCTCACTGGTTTCATCAAGTGGTTATTATTATGTTGCCAACATAGCCCTCATTTTATTTGATATATTATTCTATATTTCACAGTGTGAGGCATATATGATAAAACTGTTTACAGTACTGTGTATCACGGTATGTCTTTTACTTCACCGTGCATGTTACGCTATATTCTACTGTATCTAATAATATGCCACATCACATTTTGTGTGTAATCATGTACATCCTTGCGGATGCGCGCCCTCTGATTATGAAACATTTTGGCCAGTTTATTACCGGGTTCATTTGTGAGTCTTTCGTGAATGAATATTGCGTGCGTGCGATATTGATAGTGTCTTTGGTTCGTTGGTAATCATGCTGAGAAACAGCATGAAACACAATTGATTAATGCACAGCGCAAAAATAATAGTATCAATCAAATAATTTACCAGTATTAACGCTTTGTCTCGTGTCTCACGAACTTATTAGAGGATAGGAGGTTGGTAAAGTTTCAGAGGTTTTGCTTAATTTTCGCAGCAGTTTGCAAGTTTGGAGCCATAAGGGAAGCTTTTGGTCCATGCTGCTGGCAAAATAGTTTCTGGACGACAGGGGCGACAAAGTTTCATCCATTCCGTGCAGAGTTTGTCACTGTTGACATTTTCGCAGGATTGAAATGATTAATGCCTCATTGACACGCCTGTCGTTCTTTGATAATGCTGCTGAATTCTTGCCTTCAGGGACCTGTCCTTGCTGTTCCTGCTGCTGCACAATTCCGGAAGTTTTGTTTCTGTAAACGACCACAATAAGTTGATACGATTTGACGTCAAACGACTTAAATATAAATTCAAGATATTGTGTTGGCTGCATACCTGAGGGTTAAATCTATGAAACGGTAGGTAAAAGATGGACAAAGCAGGTCAATGAATGCTGCCTGAAGCAAAAATGGCGGAAAAATATCCTTCAAAAGTCGGATAGACGTGTTTATGAAGGAAGTGCACGACGGAATGAAAATCCTATGCAACACTCTGAATGAACACGATAGTTTTGGACAATAAAGTAAATGGAAGGAATAATAATTGTGATGTTATTGGCTCCATGTTGGTGCTGGTATTGAAAGTAGACTGTTGCAGTTGTCTAAAATAAGCTTCGTTCCCCAGTTCGATGAAAAGTACTTATCATTAAAAGCATATGCAACACTAGTCCAGTATGCGACAGCGCAAGGTAGTTAATTCTATCAATCAATGTAGTCATAGTATGGAAGTATTTTCGCTGCGTTTTGCAATCTTGTACTATGTCAGTGGTGTATCTTATTTGCTCAGATATATCAGCAGGGAAAGCATAGTTTCGGTATTACGAAATATTAAAAGTGATGCAACATAATATGTTATATTATGTATCGTACTCGAATACGTAATACTATACAGATTGGTGATATTGTTTACAGCTGATTTAATATGGTTTCTAATAGAATACTTTTTTTGAATGAGGCTTTATGCTCTACTTTTTATTCTTTTTAGGGAACATGCGCCTTCGATTATTTTCATGGACGAAATCGACTCGATCGGCTCTGCGAGGGTGGAAGCGAATTCTGGAGGTAATTTCACTCAAACTTGGTAGCTCAAACTTGTTATTGTTACTAACTTAGTGTTATCCCCTGAAATGCGCATTTTATCAGATTTATTTTGAAATCTGGCTTAGAGTTTACATTTATTGAAAACCCTTTGGATTAAATCCTGAAAATTGAGAAAAAATCCTGTTTGACTTAAGGGGAAGCACATTTTTAGAGTTTGTTAAATAGCCGTACCGTGACGAATTGATGGGACACGAAATTTAAACCTTTATAAGTTGAATTAATCATTTATTACTGCAGTGTTTCATCTCTCTACTGGTTGTATATTCTTAGACTTGTGTATCTGACGTAGGTAATGTTAATTTATGTGCCTGGACGGAAGCATAGGGACTTCCATTTCTAAAGGAGATTTCCCTCAAATTCGTCCTCTCTCAGTGGCGGAGAAATCGGCTTCGAACGTCGGAGTTGCCAACTAGATTGCATAGAACGGACAAACCTTGTTTTAACGACGAATTCCCTTGAGCAAAAGAGTTTACTCCACATTGTTTCGGTGCAACTAGCGGAGAAACGGCTAGCATGTCGCTGACTTGCGAATCCTAGGCACAGAATGGTATTCTGGTCTGTTCATGCCAGAATCGACTACGTGTATGGCCATGATGTCTGATGCGAACATCTGTTATGACTTCATTTCGCTTTGACATATCTAATAGCTGAGTATCTGTCGTAGTCGGCACAAGGTGTAACCCCA